GGCGGAGACAGTCGGCCGGTCTAGTCTATCGTTGAAGGGTTGAAGCGCAGGTATAGGCCCGTAGTTGAAACGGGGTAACGACTGGGCCAATACCTGCGCTTCAACCCTTCAACGATAGACTAGACTGGCCGACTGTCTCCGCCCCTCACCCGCCACTTTTCGTGGCGTGGACTATAGCTGAACTTTGTGGCAGGTTGCACCAGCAAATACGCGGTTTTATACTTAAGGTTCAAAACCACTTATGTGCTGGAGTTTGCTGGAGTATGGCGCCACACTCTGCGGCGCTGGGCCCGGATTTTAGCCGTGTAGGGAAAAGGGAAGGGAGGGAAGGAATTAAGGAAATAATAACAAATATAGCTGGATCAGACAAGCGTGTATAAGCGTGAGAAGGACAAGGAAGACAATAGTCATGGTGCGTAACCATAGATATATATGAGCAATATTCACTAATCAGGCAATATCGTACAAGCCGAGATCCGAGCGTATAGCGACAAGATCTGTAGCTCATTGCATCGCAGCCAACGATGATACTATTGTAGGAAAAGTCTATCATGTGATTTATTTTGAGCTAGTCCTAGCTAGAGTGCCTGTAGAGGGAGAGTCGGTCATGTCGTAATATGGAGCTCCAAGGGCCTAAAAGGGTAGCCAAACTTTTAACACTAAAAATGTCCTAGCCAATCTTCAGATTCCTACATGAAACCAAGATAGATAAGAATGCACATAAATGAGCGTTCTTCCGGAAAAATGAGTAAATTTTCCGCAAAAACCAAGTCAAATGCGTGCTTTAAAAACGACGGGTCGTCGCAATTGTAATAATAAATCACTCTGAATAATTAGAATTCATAGATTGCCTGCTCTTTTGGGTCCTATAGGCTCCATGACCTACATATACATATAAAGTCGCTCCTACAACTCACTCTGGCGTTCTGCGACCCCCAAACGCCACATATGGCAAATTCTCTCATTACGGATACGGTCCCGTCTCGAAGTGACGGCAGATCGCTGCCAAAAATCCATTTCAGTTGCCCTCAACATTTCTTGCGTTCTTTTCGTCAAAGGCCACACTTCATTACCATAGATGAGCACGATGCTTTAAATGACGATGGCGTCATATGTCCGGTGCTTGTTTGCCTTTAAAATAATCTGATCCCAGAGCACCCCGCTCAGCATCGCGATGACCTTAACACTGGAAAAAAAACACATAGGATCTAGAGTCCGGACTCTTGAAAACATTGACAAGAAAAATTACTCTTGATTCAATCAGATTTTTGCTTGAATCAAAACGAAATCCGCTTAAAGTAAGAGGCTTGGTTCTTGATTTAAGCTAAATTCTGATTGAATCAAGAGTAGGTACTTTTTCTTGTCGATGTTTTTAAGAGTCTGGACTCTAGATCCAATGTGATTTTTTTTCTAGTGAACTATGACTCCATGACCTTACCTCAAAATTACCGACATGTTCGTGCTCTCCCAATATAGGTACTCTAATTAGCCCTCCTTCTTCCATATCTCTCCTGGACTAAACGAGAAGTTCTACCCCAATTAAACAAAGTTTTTTTTTTTTTTTTTTTTTTTTTTAAATTTCACAACAAAGGTTGTACTGAGAGTAAAAATTATAGACGGTTTTTTCCGAAAAATTTGTAAATTCCAAATCGTCTCACCTAAGGCGGTAGTGTCCTTGACTGCAGCTTTGCAGAGCTCAATCCGCGCCGAGTGAAGGGGAACATATCGGTCTTGTGAGGAGCCGCAAAGAAGTATGTGCCGGAAATGGCTCAAACGGCAACCTTCGCTCAGCCTGAACAGGTAGCTTTCCCGCACGTCATGCGCGTCCTTCAGCGCCAACTGTAGCAGTGAGTTAGATTTCTTCCATTTCTGCATGAACCACATTCCTAGAGACACAACACGCACAATCGGCTTTAAAACCTTAAGCAGGTGTCTATGATAAAAATTAAAAGAAATGTGTCTTGCCGCTATGTAGCTCATGACGGTACGTGCGCTGGGTCACCAAAAAGGCACTTCCCTAAAACGTAGGAAATCATGGCACCGAAATGCAGCCCGATCTTTTGCGTAGTTTTTCAGTCATAGGAGAGCAAACATTCATAATTCCATAGAAAACGGTGAAATTTGTCCTATTTCATCTTCTTAACACATCATATCTCCGTTTGAATTCCAATTACGAACCTCAGAAACTCCAGCTTTAGTTGATCATTAGTTTCGAAATATCGGACACCGAGAAGACGCATCCTTGAATCTTGAAAAACTATCATCCCAAAGTCTTCATCGAAGGAATATATATATATATTGCTTAAGTTGATAGCTGAAAAATATTTGGAAACTACAAATCCTAATTTTATTTACATAAATATAGGGTCGACCGAGCGACCTAGGATCAGCTATCGCCCCACGAGTCGCGCATGTGGTTGATCAGTGTATCAATGGCACATTTTATAACCAGTAAAAAGGAGTAGGTATAAAGACGATTTTTGTGTGTTCGTTTCGGCTCTAAAAAATGTCTGCGGGCTGGTTGTTGAAATTGATAGACAAAGGAGACATAGGGCGTATAAAGCAAACCTGTCGGTTGAAATTAGTGGTTGTTGCAGACCAAGAGGGTAAATGATGGACTAACTAAAGGGTCTCTCGTAGGTTGCTGTTAGTTAGTCTATTGCCTACCTCTTTTGTCCATTTCAACCACCCGCTTCCACCAATAGGCTGCCTTCGTATCCCTTTTGTCTTCTTTGTCCATAGCTTTGTCTATCAATTTCAACAATCAGCCCGCCTTTTTTCTTGCTGCACTCCCCGTCCCCTTCTTCTTTTATCTCGGCGGGGAGATCTGGCGATTTCCGCGGTAAGAGAGCTATGTCATACTCGAAAAATCTAAAGAGAGCAGGCTCCTGGCTCATCTAGAGGCCATTTCCTACGTGGGTTTTTTTTTTTTGACTTTGGCACTTGTGATGTTATTCACATCACATGAAGTTTAATTTCATATATTACAAATGAAAAGCCTTACCCATGTTGACGAGTCCACTATTGTTGTAGAGGGTTCCAAGGTGAGGCCCCGAGAGAGAGAGAAAAGTGTGGAAGCGGTTGAGGAAGGGCTTCATCTCGGGGCGGGCGATGGCCGCTCGGATGATGATGTTTCCGAGGGAGTGACCAATGAAACTTATCTTGGCCGGGTTGATCCCGCACGAGTCGATGTGGTACAGGAACTCCGCTACCAGACGATCTGTCATCGTGTCGAAGTCCGAAAACGTATCGTTCTGTCAACAAGAAAGTTGAAAGTAATTGGGCGTATTTATGGTAAAAGGAACCATGCGCGCAAGTGGAAAGATGGGGTGTGCTCGTGGAAGCTGCATAAGAAACAATGTAAAGGTGGATATAGTTCCTTTTGAGAGAATGGAAAAGCGGGATTCTACATTAAATCAAAAGGAACTGAGCGCTAACTCGTGAGCCGTGGGCATGTCACAAGAGTCTTGTGGACAGGGCTCATGGAGTTAAAGAGTCCCGCCACTGATCTCCCCGTCGTGCCCGGGCTCGTTCGTTACCGCTGACGTCACTGGCGCTTTATATTTCCCATTCATTCTTATGGCCCTCAACTAACGAGCACACCCCATCTTTCCACTTGCACATAGTTCCATTTAGCATAAATACGTCCAATTATGGACTACTAGACACCAGACAAGGCGAGAATCGGACGTATTAATACTAAAAGAACTATGCTGCGCACAAAACTCCTATGCAAATATAGTTCCTTTTATCATAAATGGACGTATTTCTGTCTAAAAGAATTATATGCATTAAGACATGAGCCGTGCGACCCGTAAAAATAAATGCATAACAGGGCTCACGCCATAATGCACATATGTAGTTCAGAAATACGTCAAAATATGCCAGATTGAAGCACCGCGATATTCCTCTGTATCGAAGAGTCATGCAGGGCATTTTAGACAAATTAAAAATCTTATAAATAAACTGCTAAACATGGTATGAATATCTTCCATGCGTGATGTAATTCCATATCAAAATTTCACGCAAGATACGTTGAGCTTATTGAACTCGCCCCATAGTAATTGCAAAATAAAATATTAATTTAGTATTTTGCCTGAAATTTAGTTCAATCAAACCTTTCACTTGCAAAGAAAAATAAAAAAAAACCGGCGCTCCGCTTCGCTCCGCGCCGGTTTTTTGGGGGGCTTCGCCCCCCCAAGCCCCCCCAGGACGCGCGCTTCGCGCGCGCTTTTTAGTTTGAGTGTCCATTCCAGTTGTTCTGTCTTCTTAAGCGACCCGCGCGTCCACCGCGGGAAGAGTGTATTTTCCGAAGGGGGGGGGGATCAATCTGTAAGGGAATGAATTAATTTCTTGAGCACAAGATAGTAGTTGCGTACGTTGCCAGCGAACGCGCTGCGAAAGGTTGTGACGGTTAAATGGTGAGATTTTGTTCAAGAACAGATCATTTAACCTGACCCACTGTGCGACGAACAATTTGTCCAGAATCTTCCTTCCCCTGACCCACTGTGCGACGAAAAGTTTGTCCAAAAACTTCTCTCCCCTGACCCACTGTGCGACGATCAGCTTGTCCAAAAACTTTCTCCCCCGACCCACTGTGCGGCCCTGCTCCGGCCGGCTCCCCTCATGCCGCGCACCCCTCGCCTAAAACTTTCAAAGCTCGCCATTTTTAAACGGCTCGGCCGATTTAGCTCAAATTCAATACCAAACCAGTCCTAGGGGAGAACTACCACCCGTAAAAATTTCAGCTCAAAATATTCATTTTCGCTCGAGTTATCGAGTGGACAAGATTTGACCTCCCCCCATTTTCGAGCCCCACCCCTCAAAATCTATTGCCTCAAATTTCAATTTTTTTTCGCAGAATAGTAGTCCTAATGAGTCTCTACAAAATGCAAAAAAATTGGTCAAAATATCTTTCAACGTAAGAAAGATATAACCACTCAAAAATCGAAAAATCTTCAAAAGGCGGAAATACATACATACATACATACATACATACATACATATATACATACATATATACATACATATATATATACACATGAATTTGAATAGCATATATTTTCGTGATCTACGACCCGTGATCGGTGCTCTTCACAATGTCTCAGGTCTGGGTCCGACATCATGGGAGAATGCAATAGTGTATTTCCTTCGGAAAATACACTAAAATAAAACAAGTAGACGCTCCGGCAAACGGATGCCGGATTAGAAAGCGATTCGATGTTGCATTCAATATTTGAGCATCTATTCTCTCAGTAGAAAAATACATTTTTTTTACCTCTTGTTGATTTTTCCACTTATTTTAAATAAACGAGAAGTAGGTCAGCTCGTAGTAAAACGGAATTGTTCAATAACGTGAAAGTTCAAATTAGCAGTAAGTATGCGAGATCTCATTGGGCGGAGCATTGCAACACTGCCAATTCACGTATCGCGCCGTCGCGCCTTCAATTTCACAGATGCAACACGGACATCCATCAAACACGAATAGTTGTATCGCTGCCCCGTCTACAGCGCGCATTCTTTCCCTTGCTCTCCGTTTCCAATTTGTGTTTGCTTCCATTTGTCTTAGTTGTGGTGGTGCTTGAAGAGCTACGTGAGCATTTATTGAAATTGATTGGTTGTCAATTTGACTTAAATAGACTTGGAACTTTGTTCCTTTTTTAGCATGAAATTTGAGTTGACATTCACTGACATTTCTCATTTGTAAGTGATGAGTATTGAAAGTATTTAAGGTGTCAACCGCATTTTCCGTGAAATTCTGATAACGAAACAAATATGTTAGTGCTTGATTTCTTAGGAGGTCAAAATAATTTGATTGATAAATTACCACATGACAAATTAAAGATGGATGAGAGCCGCGAGTACTTATATTTTGCATAATTCGAATCAAAAGATGCAAACTTTCCGCTCTCGTCAAAACCAAAAGCGGCTTAGTGGCAGTGCAATGTTACAAATATTACTTGACAGTTTATTCATTCAATCAAGGACGGATGACAATTATTTTCCTTTAAAATTCACTGTGAATCTCCTTCGTAATTGAATAAAACTAGAACTAGTTACCGAGTAAAAACAATAATTTGTCAGGTGAAAGTTCGCAACGTTGCAATGAAATTGAGGCCCTTTAGCTCTCGTCATTTCATTTGTTATGATATTTGCTGTTGAATTTTGATAGTGTTCGAGTTTACCTGGTTGGACTCGGACATGAGGAATTCGAGGTTAGCACCAGGAAGGCCCAGTTCTAGGTAAGTTTTCACCAAGCGGAGATCAGCCGAGTTGCCCTCGAGACCATGAACGCAGACGATGAGATGGACGCCCTCTGGTGAGAAAATCCTGTACTCGTCACTGATGTGGAAGTACGGTAGCGTTGAAGCCAAAGTCGGAAAATCGCTGAAAAGTACGCGGGTCCATTGAGAATTCCAAACGAGAGTTTTAAGCATTAAAAATTAATGACGTCACCCTGAAGGGTCGTTGAGAGCTCGTGACCAATAAGGAACATCCATAATTGAAGAGAGAATATGATTAAAATTAGGCCTCCAAGTGTAGTTCTGAGAGTAAATATCCTCGTGATCATGAATGGCGGAGCACTTCACACTTTCAACTAGGCGCAACAGCACTTTTGCACGCCATTCACCGAGTCAAAAGATACATTTTGAGCCATGGTAAGGGTTGCCGCCTTTTCGTCTGCTTCAATTTGTTCTAATGTCTTTTGCTCGTCAGAAAAACACCTTGCCATGGCTTGGAATAGTGAGATGTGCGCGCGTGCAATAAGAGCGAAATGGCCAAAACGCCTTCAATTATAAACGTATGCAACATAGACATCCTGAGAACACGAATAGTTGCATCAAGGTGTTATATTAGCATTATAGCATCTTGCATATCGACGGTGAGCCTACAAAAATGCGTACCTCAGTTTACAAAGGTGCAGACCTCCTGTCATTTTTTTTTCTTTTTTTGTTAAACGAAAAATATTTATTGTATTTTCTTGATTGACCC